CATGGAAAACATGCATGTGATGCGAGTGATTCTGCTCGGAATCGGCGGGAATTGGTGGATTCTTCTACGTGTTGGTCGCTCGTGCAACCGGAGACAAATTGATTTTGGGCCGTTTTCCGCTGGAAACACCGTGTTTGGGCTGGGCTTTTGTGACTACGCTCATGAGTCGCCCTGGCTACTACCACAGCAAGTCTACTAAGCAGTACAGCTACAGCAAATTTCTTTCGGAATCCTGACTACACTTGCTGTGTTGCTCTGTTCCCGTCTTAATTTCTTCCTTTCTCATTCAGGAGCTAGTAATGAAAACGCTGAACCGATCAGCCTCCATCATGAAACCTGCTTCGTACCAGTAACTACTACTGTGAGTACCTGATCGAAATTCATTGTCGTTTGAATGGGTAGTTAACTGAGCCACTAGCCGTATTTACTCGTGAAACAACTCCAAACACTGAAACGAGCAGGAACAGAGCCGCTGTTGGCTGCACCGGTACAAGACTATAAAGCGCCGTCTACTTCAGAATACTAACTGTGCACTTAGGCTGTGTTTAGATCTAAAGTTTGGATTCAAACTTCAGTCCTTTTCTATCATATCAATCTGTCATACACACACAACTTTTCAGTCACATCTCCAATTTCAACCAAAATACAAACTTTGGATCCAACTAAACACAGCCCTTAACCCACATCTTGGATCTGCAACGGCAACGGTAGACTCAGTTATATACTGGGGACATCGGTTAGCTGAATAACCTGAAATGTGCATCATAATAGTTTGATCAAATCCTACGGGACATCTGATCTCTATCACCTGCTTACCACCCTAGTATACTCCTACTTCTACCTTCCATGCCGATGCGAAATGCGTGACCGCTTGAGACGCAAGTGGCCATCTGAAGGAATTCAGAAATGGAAGCAACGACATGTCCAGCTTCTTCCCCATGCATCCATTTCCCGGCCATGGCCAACAACAACGCCATTGCCGCGGGAGTAGTCACTCGGTACTGTGCTCAATGCGATGTGACGCGAGCTGGTTCGCAATAATTTCGCACGCCTGACACACAGAAGCCCATCATCTCATCACACATCATCACCACACACGCCGAGCCAACCCTGTCAAGTCACTGCCAACACGATGCTGCCAATGGCCAAGGGCTAGCCACTAGCCATAACCATCACGTGTTCTTTTTTTTTTCATGTAGTACAACTCATTTAGGACTAATTAATCCTCCTCTGAGCACCATTAGCTTCACGTACTGACAGTCTTAAACCACACTTCCAAAGTTACTAGAGCAGTTACTGTACGTAGTACTCCGTACCGTGGGGGCAGTTTACTGTGCTCCGCTGAACACAATTATCAGTAGTACAAGAGATGGGAGAAGCACAGTGCGAGCTGCAGGCTGAAGCGTGCACGAACGACGTTTACAGCCAGCCTCAGGTCGTTGTCGAGCAGCGGTTGCAGCTCGTGTGGTATACTGCATACTTGAATCGGATGCGTCACGAGTGCAACGGGACAAGCCGAGCAAGTCCATATCAACCTATCCAATGCCGCGGTGAACAGCGACGCACCGTGGCGGGAGCAAATTTTCACCGGGACGACGACGAGGTAAAAAATGGGCTCAAAAACTGCAGCGTCCAGAGCAGAGCATTCGGGTCACGTTGATTGGACGGCCATTTATGCTGTGAAATGCACGGTGCTGTGCGGATAATTGTATAATATACGGTGGCCGTATATGTACGTACGAGTACATTCATTTCTCGTATACATAGGCGCTGTTTAGGCTGTGTTTAGATGTAAAGTTTGGATCCAAACTTTTTCATCACATCAACCTGTCATACACACACAACTTTTCAGTCACATCATCTTCAATTTCAACCAAAATCCAAACTTTGCGCTGAACTAAACACAGCCTTAGTTCTAAAGTTTTTTTTCTAAACTTTCAACTTTCGATCACATCAAACATTTTATACACACACAACTTTTCAATCACATCGTACCAATTTCAACCAACTTCCAAATTTCAGTGTGAACTAAACATAGTCTTATACAGCTGTTAGCACACTAGTAACAGTACCACACAAAATGATATTCCCCCATTACATTTTAAGTGCAGTCATAAGTTTCTGTGTTCAACTTTGATCCTCTGTCTTATTTAACCTTTTTTTGTAATGAGTATGTCCATATTCATAGTCATATAATGGGTCTCATCCCATCCTATGCTGCTACATTTTGGGACGGAGGGAGTATTTTTATTATTTTTAGATGATAAAATATAAATAATACTTTTATGTATGACTTATGTTCTTTAATTTTTTAAAAAGTATTTTAAATAAGATATATGATCAAAGATGCACACAAGAACTTATGACTACGCTTAAAATGGGACAGAGGGAGCACGTAACAATTTTAGTGCGGCAGTGCTAATGTTGACAAGAGTACTCCTTACATTCCAAATTAAACTAATTTAGAATGAGATACGAGTATGAGATAGTATGACACACAATTTTACTACTACTCCCCTTGTCTCAAAATAAGTTAAATAAGATTTGATCCATTTTAATACTAAAAAATCCAAAGGTTTCAATTTTTAAAAGGAAAACATTTAGAAATCCTTTAAACGCCCTAAACGTTGTCTCTACCATCAACGGTACAATTTTTAAATTTGAAAACAAAAATCAAACACTTGAGACCTGACAGCTGGAGAGGGGGTCCAGCAGCAGGAGAGGTTTGCGGTTTTCACTTCGAAAAGTTGCGGATTGAAAAGATGAGTCCAAACTCCCAAAACTTTTGCTTTTCCACGGACGGGACACGGGAGACGGGGAGAGTACTCGCGTTGTACACGGGAGAAAAGCATAATTATTGCAGGTTCAGTGGGTGATGTCACTATTATCCGCTGTAAAGGAATGTCCCCACATTCAGTAAATATCTTTACTGGAGTACAGTAAAGGTTATAAGGAAAATACTACAGAATGGTAAACCGTTCGGACGAAATGAGTGTATCCAATAATTATCGGTTGATATTCTGTTTGGACAAAAGCTTGATACCTAATATCAGCTGCTATCTCTGATGTATAATTCCGTTTGAATTCGAATGGAATACTGTAATATGCTATCTCCGTCTTAAAATATAATAATTTTTACATAGCTAAAAATACTTATATTTTAAAACGAAGAGAGTATCATTTTCCGAAAGCTAATCACGATTGAAATGGACACCAGGCAAGCACGCATTGGTTATGCGCATCCTCCATACCGTACCATACCAGCATGAGCCATATATCACCTCTTTCCGACTGTATCTTCCTTGAAGAACAATGCAGATTTGCGGGGGATGAAAGCCAGTAAGCCACTGCCCACTAGTCCTACTAAAATGGAAGCTTAGCGTACGATTAAACTCTGATGGCGCGGTAAAAACTGTAACGTTAACACGAGCGGTTTTGTGACTTTTGTGTGAACTCGACAAGGACAAAAGATTATGCGCATCGGCTGGGGCGTCGCGAAAGCGAAAGGAGGAGGAGGAGAGAGCCCGTGGAATGATGCGTCATGAGTTTCGTTCTCTGCAGTAAAAAATCGACGGGGCAGGAGAGGCATCATCGTCGTTCTCTGCACCAAAACTCATGCCATCGATCGCATCGCAGCATTTTTTTCACAACCGGGGGGGCGCCTTTGATAAAGGGTGGTGATGGCTCCCTGCTCATTCACAGCTGGAGCCTACGCCTCCCTGCTCCCTCCTGGGGAACTGTTCCTAATCGAGTGATTAGCATTAACTAAATTGGCTAATCACGTGGATTGACAGCCTTAAAATAGGGTGCTGGTATTAGGCTTCGACGTCACCGCCTGATCCTTGAATGTTTTTTACTGCTTGTAGTATAGTTGCTGCAGCTGAGATTCCATTTCTGATCTGAACATCTAGCATTTCACATTTCTAATCCAAGTACCCCGTATAGTGATACTTTGTACTGCTGTGTTAGTTCTACTTAATCAAAGACTTGACTATAATCCACACGGGTAAGTGGGTCAATAGATCTGCATCAGGTTTTTGAATGCTCCTTCCGTTGCAAGCCATCCTGCAGACTCCATCAAGCCGTGCTAGCCGTGCAATGCAAGTGCAAGCAGGCTAGCAACAGAGGGCGCAGCACTTTATGTATCGCTGATCTTCTACTTCCCCTGCACGACTCTGTTTGGGCCAAGCTGTTTTTACTGTCACCTTTTTTTCTCTTTACCGTGTCACGTACTAGTCCTACATACGGGCCCACTCGCCAGCTGTAACCAACTAGTGTACTGTTTCACGTACGGCTAGCTGGCTAGCTGTGCTGAGCAAGCAAGAGCAAGCGAGGCAGAAACAATTCTTTCCCCGACTGGTCACAGCGGCTGTGGCCAGTAGCCGCGTAGCTCAGCGAGAGAAAGAAAGAAAGAAAGGGTGTGTTTAGATGGGGAAAAGGAAATTTTTGGGTGTCATATTGAACGTTTGACCGGATGTTGGAAGGGGTTTTTGGACACGAATGAAAAAACTAATTTCAGAACTCGCCTGGAAACCGCGAGACGAATCTTTTGAGACTAATTAAGCCGTCATTAGCACATGTGGTTACTGTAGCGCTTATGGCTAATCACGGACTAATTAGGCTTAAAAGATTCGTCTCGCGATTTCCTTCATAACTGTGCAATTAGTTTTTCTTTTTATCTATATTTAATGCTTCATGCATATATCCAAAGATTCGATATAATGTTTTTGGGAAAAAAATTTGGGGAACTAAAGAGGCCCAAGCGTGCTGAAAGCTCGCTGTGAACAAAGCCGCAAAAGTTGGAGAAATCCACAGCAGCTGAGCTGTGCACGCAGACTGTAGTAGTAGTAGAGCGCTAGACTGACCACTGGTCCCTATCTCCTGACGCGTGGGTCCCCCGTTGCCCAACGGCTAGCTTGGCCTCCGACGTGGCGCCCTCGTGTCACGTGCCACCCTTCCACCGTAAGCCAAACGTCTCGCCTATATAAACATCGCACCCAGCTTCAGCTTGAGATTGAGCCCATCAGTCGAGTCGATCGAACAGCACAGCAAGTGAGCAGTGACAATGGCGTCTCTGGCCGTCGTGGTGGTGGTGGTGGCGGTGGTGTGCGCCGCCGGTGTGGCGGCGGCGGGCAAGTTCGACGACGTGGTGGAGCCGAGCTGGGCCAACGACCACGTCGTGTACGAGGGCGACCTCCTCAAGCTCCGCCTCGACAGCTCGTCCGGTACGTGTTCAACTGTTCATCGTCTTCGCCGTTGAAGTTTTTGTGGTGAATGGGTGAAGATGTTCTCGATCTGCATTTGGGGGACAGATGACCAGAATGTTTTGTGTTGTGGATGCAGGCGGCGGGTTCGCGTCGAAGAGCAAGTTCCTGTACGGCAAGGCGACCGCCGACCTGAAGCTCGTGGCGGGGGATTCCGCCGGAGTTGTCACTGCTTTCTATGTGAGTGAGTGCATCAGGCTGTGCTCTGTGCTTCGCTACGCTTTCCTCCATCTGCTTCGAACCTGCCATTATTGATTCTTCATCCTGCATTAGCTTAAACAAGATTAACTGGGGTAAATGACACCATTAGTAGTATGCACTACTGTAGTAAATACAGTACAAACGTTTTTCGAGGCAGTGTTGGGGACATGCTTGACCATGTCTGTCGGGGGAAGCTGCCAAGAATCAATTTACAAAGAACAGCGGCACGTGAACTCGTGCAGCAATAGGACAACGTTCTTTAAAGATGGCCGCTTTTCACTAATCACCCCCGATTAATCCATTACTTAATTAACTGGAGTTAAAACTAAATTTAGCTGAATTTGGCTTGCAGCTGTCGTCCGGCGGGGACAAGCACAACGAGTTCGACTTCGAGTTCCTGGGCAACGTCACCGGCGAGCCGTACCTGGTGCAGACCAACCTGTACATCGACGGCGTCGGCAACCGGGAGCAGCGCATCGACCTGTGGTTCGACCCCACCGCCGACTTCCACACCTACGCCGTGCTCTGGAACCCCAGCCAGGTCGTCTTCCTCGTCGACGACACCCCCATCCGCGTCTACGAGAACAAGAACGCCACCGCCGCCGTCAAGGGCCACCACCGCCACGCCGCCGCCGCCAATGGCACCAGCAACGCCACATCGGCGGCGGCGTCCGTGCCGCCGTTCCCGTCGCCGCAGCCGATGTCGGTGTACAGCTCCATCTGGAACGCGGACGACTGGGCGACGCAGGGCGGGCGGGTGAAGACGGACTGGTCGCACGCGCCGTTCGTGGCCACGTTCCGCGACGTCCGCGTCGAGGGTTGCGCGTGGGCGGCGAACGCCACGGACTCGGACGCCGGCGAGGTGGCGCGGTGCACGGGGAGCTCGTGGGGCAAGGAGGGGAGGTACTGGTGGAAGGAGAAGGACATGGAGGAGCTCACCGTGCACCAGAACCACCAGCTCGTGTGGGCGCGCGCGCACCACCTCGTCTACGACTACTGCGTCGACACCGACCGCTTCCCCGTCCAGCCGCCGGAGTGCGCCGGACGGTGACCGTCGATCTCGTCGCCGGTTAGGATGGATCGATGGATGGAACTGCTGGTTTCTTTCTTGGTTAGCAAATCAAATGGCAGGTAGTTTATCTCAGATGAACTTAGGTGATGGTAGTTCATCGTAATTCTGTGTCTCTGTGGGGGTGTATCTGTAAAAAATTGTTACTCGGCTTCCACTGCTGTTCTGCTGCTGCTGCATTTCTTCAGTCTTCCGATCTGGACGATGCTCACTTTTAACTTCAAATCGAAATGCAAATGCCCAATGCCATCATTCATTCATTTGGTCCTCCTCACGGTGAAAAATCAATGAATGCCATCTGAAAGATCACTGATGTATTGATGGCTTTAATTCAGAGATCAACCGAGTAATAAGAAGAGGTGTACCGAGAGGTACAATAAACCTGTGGTCCATTTGATCGACTCGTACATTATTACTATTACAGATCTCACTGTTTGGGGTGCAGGACGAGAGAGTCCGAAGAGATAAGGCATCGATCAGTACTAGTACTAGGACTGACCAGGCTTTTGCCTTGCCCCTCCTCATCACGGGTCAGTAGAATCAGAATACTGAAACAGCTGAGATGGTCACGAGATGATGCTCTTGCCTTCGCCTTGATCCCTCTTTTGCATGCTCACTTTGTTCTGAAGGGACCAGCCTAGTTTTCGCTTTAGCCAAACTCTCTCGGCTTGTCTTTCTTTTGCCAGCTACACAGCTGGACAGGTCGCAGTAGTACTATACGTATGCCGGTAGAGTGGTAGACCGTAGAGGGAATGCAGAGCGAGTGATTGATTGGCACGTTCTGTACCAATGTAGGACTAGTGTATACCACCGAAAATACAGATGCAGATGTGCCGCAACGGCGCAACTTGGAGACGTAATAATACCTTGCTTTTGCTTTTGAATGCAGCAAGTGCGAGAGAGCTCCAAGCTAGGTGTACACCTGTGAACGAGGCAACACTGTATCTACGGATGAAAACGGCCAGAAAACGTTTCAATCGTATCCATCACTATATTTTCTCGAAGACGGAATTCAAAACATAAATACTGGAAAGAAAACGGTATCGAAAATATAAAAAAAAACAACTGATACTACGGATGATTATCAACGGAAAACCGGTAAGAAATATCAGAAACATTGACCATAAAAATCACAATTCAATTTGCATAGCTATATGTTCTGATGAAATAAAATCAAAGTTACACTATGTAAATTACAATTTGTCTTTCTTTCAACAATAGATTAGGGGTTTGATTGATGAATTGACGATACTATAGACTATGGGTTGAGTAAAGAATTAGATCATATATATGATGGCGCATTTAGAAACAGTAAAATATAACAGCAAAATTGTTTCCGTTTTCATTTTTGTCGGTAACCCTTTCCATATAACTCGACCAGTAAAATAAAAGGAATTGCTAACTGGCTACCTGCTGATCTACCCTATAATTCACCAACTTGTTTTACTCATCTTTCACTCTTACACTCTTACATTCATCACTCAACGGTTGAGATCATCCCTGTGAAATCCAACGCTCCATGTCATCTCCACCTCCCACCTCGCACCATAACCCCAACCCGACTCCCGTCTTCCACGCGATTCTTCCTCCCCTTTCCTTCCCGTCTTCCACGCTACAGATTGCGCCTCCTCAATTCCTCATTGTCTCGCGAATTTTTGCGCCTAGGTCGCCCTCACTCGAAGCGACGACACCCTCGTTTCCCTCTCTGCCCACCATGCCACGTGCAAGTCCTTTGCCGATGACCATGGAGAGACCGTCAAAATCTGTTGGTCGCCGTCACCGATACAGCCGATAGCGCCTCCTTTCCCTATTGATCTGTTGCTAGAGAATGGGGCGAGGGTCAAGCGCAATGCCCAAGCCCAGACTCCAACCCAACCCACAAATCGTTTGCACCCTTCTGCACCGATCGCCGTAACCGGTCGGCTGCCATAAGCGGTTCTCTGTCTACCCAACTCGCCGGTCAATAGATCGCAACGCCCCACCACATTTCGTCCCTGGTCGGCTGCTGCTTGCTCTTCCACTAATTTGATCTTGCAATTTCAAAATCATAATGCTTCAGCAGTGGAATTTGCGGATAAGGTCAGGTACATTTATCTCAAATTTACCTGATTCTTGATGTTGCATGCAAAATTTCCTAGCCGCCCGGGTTGCCATAGATGAGACTTGTGGCGTTCTTTTTGTTGATATGTCTGCAAATGGGATAGCTTAACCAAATTATGGAGTTGTGGCACTTTACTAAAGTCTGAATGTACATTTCATTTGTATTATGGGGTATAGGCCAACAACTTTTAATATGAGCTTTTGCTGTAATCTTGATTTAATTCGTTGATATGCTGAGGGATCGTGGCATCCTTCCCATTACATGTTCCTGATCTGTTCTGTCAGTGATGCTTGGTGTCAAGGTACGCCCACTGGGCTTCCACACGAACCATGGCGAGGTGCTGTTCCGCTGCTGGGACATGGTAAAATCTTTTAGACCAAACCATTTGATGTGCTAGCTTATATCGTGCTTGTCTATACCTGCTAAAATCACTTCTACAAAACTGTATGATGGTTCCGGTAAGAAAGTCAAATCGATCGGTAATGTTCAGAATTGAGAAACATGAATATTGATCTGTGCAGTCTTCAGGAAGTGTTGAGTTCTGTGTGAGTAAATGAGTATGTAAGTAGGGGAGAAGCACTGCAAGTAGTGATTTGTCTATGGCATATATCATCATGATCTGCTCCTTGTATAAAGAGCTTCAGAATTCAGATTAATTTTTTTAGAGAAATAATTCAGATTAATTTCACAAACTAGATTGATCAGGGTTTTGCCGAACCTTGTCTATCTTAACTTAGTGCAAATATCAGTTTGTCAAATCACTGTTCACGTTTTTTTTTCCCATGTGGATATGCATTTGCAAATAAGTACGTAGCAGTATTTTGGAGACCTTGATTTGGATGTAATATATATGTGTTTCTTGTTTTATAATTTAGGTCTTCTTAATTCATAGATTGCCTTGTACCTCTTGATGGGTGGCTATCAAAGCTCTATTAGTCTAAAACAATAGTATTAATCTTACTTTGATACTTTAATGTTTGATATGCCCTTTCTGTAAGTTGTTCATGGGTCCTTGCAAAAGAAACAAATGCTCATTGCTGTCTAGATTAGTTTCTAGAAATTCGATTTGGACCAGGTATGTCCAACAGAATGAGATTCGGATTTTCTTTTGGCGTACTATATATGGCTGCAAGTTCGGGTGCGATCGTCTGAATAACTGAATGTACTGCAAATTGCAAAACTAGCTCATTAACTTGGATCATTTACCAATTTGCTAAGTCCTATTCAACTGTAAGCTGACGTTGATCTACACACCTTATTCAGTATAAAAGCAGCACAACATTATCTTAACAATGAAGAATGAGAGGCTTTCAACCCGGAAAAAAAAAAGAATGAGGGGCTTTCATATGTTTCGAGATGCATAGTGCACTATTTTCTGGTCTAAAATGGAGCTGATTCATATGCTTGTCTATACTTGGAGCAAGCAATTCAGTCCATGAATCTCCTTTCTATGTGTATTGACAATCATGACTCCAACACAGTATGCACTAACCTGTTTTAGCCTTTTATATGCCCAGGCAACCAGCAGATCTCTTGCTTAATTGCATAAAAATTTTAATTCTATGTCTTTGTACTTAATTAAAATTATTTATTTAGGGAAAACGAGTTACATATATCGTTTGCAGATAATGTTACCATCTATGTGTACACGCTCTACTAAATCATTTTAAAGGATAACCATAGCTTTTTAGTCCATTATTAATTAATTTGGGTATAACAGCGTAACCACAATCGTTACTTGCAACTTTTGATGAATGAGAATAGAGCATTTCGTTATTTCTGAACAAATATATTACTGCCTCCGTTTTAGGTTATAAGATTTTCTAGCATTGCCCACATTGATATATATATGTTAATGTGTGTCTAGATTCATTAACATATATATTGTAAAGAGAATAGGAGAGAACACCACTCTCCCCAATGAGGGGGGTGACCATATATTATAGTCTTTCCAATATACAAGATCCTTAGAGGAGTATACAAGGAAGCTAAGGATACAAAAGAATCCTATACATATATGGCTATACATTCCTAATGCCCGCCCGCAGTCACAACAGGAGGATCACGAATGCAAAGATTGGACCTGAAATCAGTGAACAACTGCACAAGCAGCCCCTTGGTCATGATATCGGTGAACTGATGGGACGACGGTACATGGAGCACATGGACCTGTCTTAGAGCCACCTTCTCCCGAACGAAGTGAATGTCGATCTCAATGTGCTTCGTACGACGATGATGCACCGGATTGGCCGTCATGTAGACAGCGCTGACGTTGTCACCGTAAACAACGGTTGCAGAGGCGATGGGAGCATGAAGCTCCTGGAGAAGCTGTCGAAGCCAGCAGCATTCGGCGACGGCGTGAGCAACAGCGCGGTACTCAGCCTCCGCGCTAGACCGGGAGACAGTCGTCTGACGCTTGGAAGACCAAGAGATCGGATTGTCGCCGAGGAAGACGTAGTATCCGGAGGTGGAGCGCCGGGAGTCGGGACAGCTGGCCCAGTCGGCATTAGAATAAGCCGTCAGAGACTTGACAGGGCCGGTGCTGATGTGGAGTCCGGTGGAGAGAGCCTTTGACGTAAGCGCAGAATGCACTTGACCAAGGCAAGGTGGGGCTCCCGTGGATCATGCATGAAGAGGCAGACTTACTGAACAGCATAGGCGAGCTCTGGCCGAGTGAGAGTGAGGTACTGCAGAGTGCCTGCAAGGCTCCTGTACTCGGTCGGATCCTTGACGGGGGCGCCGTCGGAGGCGGAAAGCTTGGCCCGAGCATCAACCGGGGTGGCGGTGGGGTGGCATTCAGACATGCCGGCTCGCTGAAGAAGATCGACGGCGTACTGTCGCTGGGACAGGAAGAGGCCAACGGAGGAGCGACGGACGGAGGTTCTCTATCAAATATGATATTTCCAAAAATAGCCATACATATTTTTAAACCTTTCTTAAATGCTGGATAGAGAATTGTGATACAAATGGTGATTATTGATGAAAAAAATAGAAAACCTTTAATTGATATTTGTTTATGCATGTAGAAGTAGAAAAATAATAGTGAACAGATTACTTCTCTTGATTGCGACTTGAACTTTCATACTGAGAGCTACTCCGGTTTGTGATAATAATATTTAAATAAATTTGGACCTCGAAATAGTAAAATAATTTTTAAGTAGAAAATTTGCTAGATATCGCCGTAGCGTTAGCATGGGCAAATTACTAGTTTATTTTGGTTGGTTAAGAATTTCTGTAACTGTTTTTACCACTAACCATGTTTCCACTTTCTACGGCTCCATGGTGTAGCCGAAGGCCTGGGTTCATTTTAGGAAGGAAGGCCCAGCAGCCCAGTACATGACAACCATGTGCACAGACCTAGAGTTTGAGACAATACAAAACAAAACATGGGAGGGCGTCATTTGCCAAACATAGTACCACCTCGGAAGTCTTCAAGAAATGAATCTAGCTTAAAATGCAAAACCTTTGACCGCTAAGCACGACCTTACTTGAACAGGATCTGTTCTATAGGCTCGTACCGTTGCATCCTTGACTAATAAGGAGGCAAGCACTCAAGCTTGGTTGATGACGCATGACCTGTGGGCCAGAGCGTGATTGACGGCCCGGATCATTTCCGTGTGAATTGATCCCGCGGCTGTAGAGGATCGTTCCTTGCCGGGCTTTCGCTTGGTCAGGGTTGGCCCATAGGTTGTCTGACAGGCATCATTTTTTTTTTCAGTTATCTTCACCACTCCATTAATTAGGCCGTTTTTTCAATATTTAGGAGAAGCCTGAATTACTAACAGTAAAATCTTTGACAAGCCCAAGTCATCCGCATGACAATCCAAACAGTAATTTGTAGATTTTTGTAATCATAGTGTGTTATTATCCTTCATCAATTGATACTTCTGCTGCTCACATTGATCATTCATCAATTGATACTTCTGCTGCTCACATTGATCATTTGGACTACCTCGTAATAAATGGAAATCCAAGTTCATGCTACGGAGCATTGGACTGATAATTAAGGTGTTTTAGTCACATCATGCATATACACAACAAATCTGAGGTACAAGATCTCAACAACGTACTCCCTCCGTCTAAAAAAGACAAATCCTAACTAGTGAAATTAAGTGAGCATACATAGTGGTACTACTAAGGCTATGTTTAGATTTGACATACCACATCGAATATACGGACGCATATTTAAAGTATTAAATGTAGTATAATAACAAAATAAATTACAGAATTCGCCCCGAGATGAATTTATTAAGTCTAATAAATCAATCATTAGCAAATGTTTATTGTAGCACCACATTATTAAATCATGGCGCGATTAGGCTTAAAAGATTCGTTTCGTAATTTACACACAATCTATGTGATTAATTATTTTTTCGTTTATATTTAATACTCTAAGCATGTATCCAAACATTCGATGTGACATTGTGTAAAATTTTATCAAAGGGATTGCCCTGAAGACTGCTATGCAGGTCCAGACTTGGACGAAATTAAATTACAGCATCTTTCATGATTATGTCAAGGCCCTGATCACATCAGCTGGGTCCTCAGAAACATAAACCCCCATGTTAAATTGCATTATCATCAGTTTGGGCACGGATCAGTACGACAGTACACTATTGGATACAATTTCCATCTACTAATGTTTACAGGTGGAGTTTTTAACCACGTGATGGCTATGTGAAGGAGTAAGATAAACTGTAGGAGAAAAGCATTTCGTAGTGGGCCATGAAGCCTTTCAGGACATGTATTTGCAGTATTGTGGCCGGCCCATTACGCAATTGGCAGGACAACAAAGCACTCAGTATTAGTACCACCTCGGCTCATCCACATAGATCAAAGCTGGTTTAAAAGAGTTGTGCAGATGCATCCATGGCACGAACTTACTTGAACAGGCATCTGTTCTATAGGCTCGTACCGTTGCATCCTTGACTAATAAGGAGGCAAGCACTCAAGCTTGGTTGATGACGCATGACCTGTGGGCCAGAGCGTGATTAACGGCCGGATCATGTCACTGGCTGATTCGATCCCACGGCTGTAGAGGATCGTTCCTTGCCGGGCCTCGCTTGGCCAGGATGGCTCTCAGGTTGTCTGACAGGCTCCCAATTTTTTTTTTCGTTTTGCATTGAGTTTTCTCCGTCGCATGTTTGCAGCGTGTTCAAAAAGTTCGCAGCTGTATTTCACTTATTTACGGCGCCACATTTTCATGCCGTTTGTGCCAACTATCCCGAGCTAGTGAATACAGCTTAGCTTCACACAACACCGGTGACCCGCTGACCTGCTCGTACCTCGTACCGTCGTACGGCACAGCATTGCTGGAATTAAGGGTGTGATCGATACTGCTTGCTGCTGCAGCAACCGTGGCTGCAAGAGCTAAAAATGGCTGCAGCGGCAGCAGCTGAAAAACAGCCACAGCCATAGCGGCAGCAGCAGATAGCAGTTCCGATCAGGCCCTAAATCCAAGTCCTAGCTAAACAGGATGCTCCATTGAACAGCCAAACCGGCCTCACATGGTCTATCCAAGGACCTGCCAGTTAGCCACGAAATATTTCGTGAAAAGCCAGCTGAAGGCTGAAGCCCTTTTTGCACTGAAATGAGTATGCGTGCGGGCCTGATGATCCGTGGCATTGTTGCTGCGGGGACATCCATGCACTGCAGGGTAATGGAGGAGCTGATTGAGCCATATGTCTCGCTGCAAAGGCTTCCTCCTTTCGGTGGTTAGCCCAGAGCCTCTCCCAGAGATCGACCCAGACCAGCATGCAGTAATCGAATCCCGTTCGATGATTCGATCTACTAAATTCGCAAAGGCTGTAGCGCGCACATGGCGCCAACAGGCAACAGTCCGGGCCATTTCGCCATGCCCCGGGGGATCCCTCTGACGCCTCACTTGAGATTCCTTGAAAGTTGCGAACACATTTGTGGTTTTATCTTCACTTGTGAAAGAAGACGTGTCATCGTATGATCTCTACTTTCTTTTCAAGAAAGTCTTCTGGGTGATCTTATGAGCACTCTGACTATCTGAACGCTGCCTAATAATTCACATAAAGCTCGGGCGCCAGTTCACAGTTTTCATACCTGGACTACTGCTACTGTGTTAGTGCAGTAGTGCTATAGCTAATGATATGGGGCATCCAATTAGTTGGGTCCTCACCTGGTCGGTCCATACATGAACCTGACGCCCCCGTGCTGTGCTGGCTTCTACGTTTTCATCACCGAAAATATTGCAGTCCCACACGCTCTCTAGGTTAAGGAGCAACTGGCGGCTTGGTGCATATACAGTAGTACTCTTGATCAGTGAAGACCTAGGTAACAGGGTACTATAGCAGGTTCCTGTGCACAATGATGTGAAGCAAAATATAAATGCTTAATTTGTCAACATTGTATACAACGCGCGTCAAAGGAATCATTTCAAGAATGATCCCATCTTCTGATGTAGTGGTGTCCAAGGCTCCATATACAGCTGCCCCAGTGTATAATGCATGGAAAGTACAGAACTATGTACATCTCATTGTGCAGGAACTCGTCACGAAACGCAATCATATATACAGTAAAACATTTTTTTTTGTGTGTGGAAGTGCCCTTTCTGTGATCATGCTGCTGGTAGTGCCCAATAAGCTAAGCACCACCAAGTATATTCCCATTGTCAGTAGTCACCAGGGCATTCATCAAGTCGGTTGATATATATTGTCAGGTAGGGACATCGGAGCTAGCTAGCAGCTTGGCCCCGGCCGCCGGCGACCATCACGGCCGGGATGATCCGACGCCATCCCGGCTACTTTTCACAGATCATCGCATGCTTGCCATGGACGACAATGCAGAGAAAATACTCTTACCTGTTGCTAATTAAACGTCTAAGTCAAACACAGAAACTGAAAACGAATGTACACTAAGTTTTGCCTAATTAGTTCTTGTTGCGATCTACGCAATGGTTTCGTCAGCGACGAGGAAAGAATGCACACAGGAAACTGATGCAATAATCCGAAGGTGACTCGACAAGAAATTTTTTTTCGCAGGACAAAAGGAAAAGGAGAGTTGTGAAAACGATCGAAGTAGCCGGGGGTCAAAAAGGGTTTGACCCGCCCACCCAGGCTATGAATGCGATAGACACTGGCTTGACAGGCCCATCAGCTGGCCCGGTATACCTAACACAATCACGATGGGGGGTTGGTGGGCCCAGCCGGTCAGCGAGACAGATAGCGAATCCGCGGGCCTTTGGGCTTTCGTCAGAGCCCACCTGAACTGTTGGCATGTGCAGCAGTTTTCGGGGTCCATCGAGTGTTGACTCTGCTGAAGAAAGGGTAACAAAACAGATGGAGAGTTTTCCTTGGTTTCACATACACAGAGTGAGTACATCATTAAAGTAAGTGAATTCACAACATAGAAATGCATTCAATTATTCATCACAAAACCTGTTGTTTTATTGCCTTTAATTATGGACAGGATAGTGTTTGTTTGTTTATGACGTAACGGGCGCGCACCAGTATATATTGTCACTAGACAGTGGGTTTTGTTAGGTAAGTAGTACTGAGAATGTAGCCTCATCATTAAGAGTTCAAGATCATTAACACGGCGTACACTTGTTTTGTCTCAATAGCATGTGTTCCCACTGTGATGAGATCAGTCTCGTGAACAATCCCGTGCATATATGGGTTATTAAAAGCATCATCAGACGTATGGTTGACCTCTTGCTTGGTTGGGTTATCTGTCCACTGTCCTAACCACGTGTGTTAGGCGCAGAGATCACAAGCTTGCTAGATCGATCTCACGTACGGCCACACTACATTACCATACAGTTACGCCGAAATTAAAACAAGATGCCAGATCACTCACCCAACTTAGCTAAGCTCCAATCGATCCGTGCCCAACCCAACCGTCCCGGCAGCTGTCGGGACAAACTGAGTAGACTCCGAGCGTGTCGATCTAATTCTAAAGTCAGAGCACACTTTGACGAACAGGTTGACCCACTGCGACCCAGGAATCAAACAGCTAGTAGGAAACTAGCATTTGTCTCAGCCTAATAGCCCAAAGATGCCCTCGTGTGTCCTACTGTCCTTAGCCCGGCCGTGTCAACGCCCAGCCTAAACCGGCCAACACGTCAACGATCCGTGTCGCAGAGCGTGTGCTTTTCCTGACGCGACGGATGCCGGCGCTACTGCTACTTCCTACCCCTCCGAAACCGACGCCGCGGCCGGGTTGGGTTTGGGTCTTGGGTCAGCGTCGACGTCGTCGCTGGCCTCGTCGGTTTCGGAGGCACGTGTTACAGGCCGGGAACCCTCGATCGATCGCGCGGCCGCGCGCACGCACGCGCGTCTGGTTTGCTCCGCGATGTTGCGGTGCGCACTAGCCAGCGGAGGACTCGTCGCGTGTACAGGTTGCCGTGGCGATCGAGCGCGCGGCGTGCGTGTCCACGTACGTACGCCGCCCCGCGCGCACGCGCACGCCGCCGTGTTTCGCACACCGGCAGCCGGACCATTCTAGCCGGCGCGCGGGCGCGAGCGAGCGAGCGGCAGGTCGGTCGGTTTCGGGAGACCTCGTGCCCTGGGTGGCACGGCAGTGGCAGGGGGGACAGCGTAGCGTAGCGTAGCTTGCCATCTACGACTGGACGACTCCACCAACAAAACATTAGACTCTATAAATTAAAATCTGTATATATGTTTGTGGCTAGCAAAAATGGTAAATTCGAGTATAAAGTTACAGGCAGGATA